GTTGGTGAGCTCATCTCTGATGAATTATTCCTTAGATTGGAGATAAATCAGTCGAAGGTTTAAATTAAAATCTAGGGTGTCGCGAATTACTAGAGCTAGAAGTGAACGGTAATCCAACGCCAACAGTCGAATGGTATCATGATGGAAAATTAGTTGCACAAAGTAGAACACTTCGGACGTACTTTGACGGCAGACTCGCTTTTCTCAAAATTTACAGAGCACAAATGGATCATACCGGACTCTACGTATGCAAGGTATCGTTACATACTCCTTTGAACGTTTATGCAGAGTGCTTCAATAATTGTTTGTAGATATCCAACAAGCTAGGAACCGTCGAAGCAAGCGCATTTTTGACAGTGGAGGAGGAATTCTCGCCTCATGTTCCGAATATGCCAACATTCATACGAAAGCTTGAAGACGTTATCGTCGAAAAGGTAGCTTTTTTAACGATTGTTGCTTTCATAGGAGTAAAAAAATCTAATTATAATATGAGATATTCAATTCGAAGACACTTGATCATACCAATATAGATTTGCATTTATGTGTTTATGGTCGGTATCTATTTAAATTGAAGGAAAATACAGAAAACTGCTGATATAGTGATTGATACGTGGACGTGCCGAATTTAAGAACGCAAAATTCCCTTAACTACAGTCGTTCTTCGAGTTTTGCCTCTACCAATGCTTGATTTTTGAAAGTACCCGTCGTTCATTCCAGATCGGTCAACCTGCTTCTTTGAATTGTCAAGTGCATGGAGATCCACCACCAGTCCTATGCTGGCTACAGAATGGTCGTGCGATTCGTAGCGATCCATCGTACTGCTGTCGGATGACCAACGACGGCATTGCAAGTCTAGATATCACAGCCGTTACTGAGCAGTACTGCGGAACTTACACAGCTGTGGCCTCAAATGCTTTTGGAGACGCTCACTCGTCTGCCATTGTCAAACTAATGCAGTCAACAAATATGGTATTTTCTACAGTTTTACATCCGCTTTCGATGTTAAGTTTATATGTAAAGTTGCAGGTGAATGCTGTCAACCATATATCACGCATCCCCATAACAATTGATTCTTGCCAATCTGATGAGCAGTCCTTTGTTGATGAAAACACTGGTAAATACACAATGCCTAATGATTCATCTCATTGTAAAATATGCATTTTTAGATATATCATTGTGATCATGTCTATCTTCCAACATATGGAGTTGAAAATTTGAGTGTTTCCATCAATCGAACGAGTTCCGAGCGAAATACGCGACACTCTCGACTACGCAAATCTCCGAATCATATAAAATCATATCGTCATACACTATGACAGTTAACACTAGCGGTTACATTTGTACAACACTAACTCAAAATTTTCCTTCAAACTGTATATATATTGATTATGTACATTTCTATGAGAATACTACGCTAGCTCCACGAATGAACATGCACTTCACCCAATCAATGTTCAGCTGATTGTAAAGATACCCAAATTATTTCATATTTTTCCCGCTTTCTTGTAATTTTTGAGGGCAGAAATGTTAGTGGTGAAATATCATGAATATCACTATCAATGCAAATGCTCAATTCATTAGTCATTGGGATATTTAAGCTAAAAATGCAAAGCGCAGCACCTTTACTTGTGGATAATGGAGGGTCTATCGACTAACAACTTGGGAACAAATTTTTTGCGTTACATCAATACTTGGCTAACTCAAAGTAAAACCATAGTGTAATTATCCTGCGCCTCAAAAAAAAAAACAGCTAAAGATGTTTATCAAAATAAAGGGCATAAGAAGAGACATGCACTTGAACTGAATGTGCCTAACTGACTAATTGTCATTCCAGTGATTAAAGTCATAATCTAATGCCTGTTGTTACCTTTGCCAATACCCAATAGCCATCTGGGCATTTAGGGTAAAGTTTCAGTGGGTTATGAGATTTATGAGTAGGTGGAAGATTGTGGTAAAAATTCAACCAATTTTATTCCATTAGTATCTTCATTGAGTTTGTACATCAATTAGCGTTATTAACCATCTCTACATTACCCATTAAATGCACCATATGAGAACCCCACTTTCACAAGAGTCATGCATTGCAGTGTGACGAAGTTTGAGCGCTCATATAAAAACGCATATGGATGACAGCTGGAGGTTGTTGCTTGCTGTAAAGCTTCGAGTGCATAGCCGTTTAACACGCAAAGGTATTTGCGAAAGATAGCGCATAGAGCATCCTATCAGGCCAATAATTCGAGTGCATTTCAATCTGTACCGGATTTCGTTGGCCAACGTCCATTGGCATTGTTTCAAAACAGACAAATCACCTTTCATTTATTTAGCGTCAAACTATAACGGAGCTTTTGTATAGCAACCAACTTATCTCAACAAAACAAATTATTTCAATCAAGCTTTTCATTGTGTTGATTTATTTCTAGAGCCCTATAGAGAAAAACAGTGATAATATGTAGCATGGACGAGTTCGTAGCATCTGAGAATGCGGGAAGAATGCGGCCTTTTGATATCCATTACCTCTACATATAAAGCAGAAAGCATGTATGTATTATGAATGTGTGCGATATACATACATCCTTTAATTCTTGGGAAAAACGGCTTGCCATGACAAATCCGCTACCAGGTATTTATAGTGGCAAAGGCGTCGCAAAGCCATAAATCACTTTACAATATGTTTTAACAAACACTTATATGCTTTATTGAACTCTGATTCCAGACAATCGTAGGTTACAAAGATTTTTGATAAAACTCCTGTCTTGATCTCAGATATATCTGCGAAAAAGATTATTTAATGCAGGTGATCTCAGCAAATACATTAAATGACTTTCATATTAAAAGCTAATATTTGCGAGCTCTCCCCAATTTTTAAAACTGGCAGCTGCTGAGAGTATTGAAAGTTACTTAAAGACCAGTTTGGAGTAAAACTGCAGGATAGAGAAAGTGATGTTGATAAGACGTTTGAGAAAAAACTCAAGCGAAACTTCAACAAAATTTCTAATAAAAGGCCAACTGCTGCCTTTCATATTGAGAAAATTAAAAC